CAGGTGAGACAGGTGAGACACAGGTAACACATGGACAGGTGAGATACAGGTGAGAGAAACAGGTGAGACACAGACAAGGGAGTGCCCAGGTGTGCCCCACGTGGAACCCAGCAGTGGCCCCAGGTGTATCCCAAGTGTATCCAGCTGTGCCCAGGTGTAGCCCAGGTGTGCCCAGGTGTATCCCAAGTGTATCCCAGGTATGCCTGGGTGTCCCCAGGTGTATCCAGGTGTCACCAGGTGTATCCCAGGTGCCCCCAGCTGCCCCCAGGTGTATCCCAGGTGCCCCCAGGTGTATCCCAGGTGTATCCCAGGTGTGCCCAGGTGCCCCCAGGTGTGCCCAGGTGTATCCCAGGTGTGCCCAGGTGTATCCCAGCTGCTCCCAGGTGTGCCCAGGTGTATCCCAGGTGCCCCCAGGTGTATCCCAGCTCCCCCCAGCTGTACCCAGGTGTATCCAGCTGTCCCCAGGTGTATCCCAGGTGTACCCAGGTGTCCCCAGGTGTGCCCAGGTGTGTCCCAGGTGTGCCCAGGTGCGCTCACCAGGTGCAGCCGGAAGCTCCTCTCGTATTTCATGTACTTGAGGCAGAACTCGCAGATCCAGAGCTTCGGCTGCTTCCCATAATCCTCCGGGAAGGGCGAGAAGTACCAGGCGTCGATCTCGTAGTGCCCGATGTGGATCTTGTCCACGTACTTCACCTTGGTGATCTGCACAGGTGAGACCAGGTGAGCGCACCTGGGCACACCTGGAGAGCCCCAAAATCCCCCCCCAAAAAAAATCCCGGAAAAAATCCCCCCAAAAAATCCCATAAAAAACGTCATAAAAATGCCCTAAATCTTCCCCACGTGAGGATTTCCAGGTGTGGCCAATGGGGATCCTGTCCAGGAATTCACCTTGGTGATCTGGACAAGACAGGTGAGCGCACCTGGGCACACCTGGAGAGCCCCAAAATCCCCCCAGAAAAATCCCCCAAAAAATCGCATAAAAAACGGCCCCAAAAACGACAAAACCCGGCCCAGGTGAGGATCTCCAGGTGTGCCTGAAGTGAATTTTGTCCAGGAATTCACCTTGGTGATCTGGACAGGACAGGTGAGCGCACCTGGGCACACCTGGAGAGCCCCAAAATCCAAAAAAAATCCCAGAAAAAATCCCCCCAAAAAATCACATAAAAATCCCTTTAAAAAATCCTCAAAAAATCCCAAAAAATTTTCCACACCTGGGGCTCACCAGGGCACACCTGGGCACACCTGTGCACACCTGGGGCTCACCTGGGGATCACCTGGGCACACCTGGGGCTCACTGGAGCACACCTGGGCACACCTGGGGCACACCTGGGCACACCTGGGGCACACCTGGGGATCACCTGGGGCTCACCTGGGCACACCTGTGCACACCTGGGGCTCACCTGTGCACACCTGGGGCACACCTGGGGCTCACCTGGGCACACCTGGGGCTCACTGGGGCACACCTGTGCACACCTGGGGCACTCCTGGGCACACCTGGGGCTCACCTGGGCACACTGGGGCACATCTGGGGCACACCTGGGCACAGGTGGAATTTTGGGATTTCCCCCCCCCCATTCCCACTCACGGCCTCGTGCTCCTTCTCCAGCGCCGCCGTGGTC